TCGTAGGTGGCTGTGGAGCTGCATGTTCTCCCGCAGTGAGAACATCGGTTTCCAGGTGGAAGGTTGGCTTGACACACCTTCCTCTTGGCATGTTTCTCCCTTTCACCCTCAATTCGTGCCTCTTTGAATTCTGCAGCACTGCTGGTCACAGCTGACCTCCAGTTAGAGCACTCAAGGGCCAGGGCTTCCCAGTTCTTGGCGTCTATGCCAAAGTGTTTAAGGTTGGCTTCAAGCCCATATTTAAATCTCTTTTTCTGTCTACCAACATACAACATTATGGGAAGCAAGTGGAGCTGACGCAATAGGGGGGGGGGGGTTGTATACTCCCTGTACACCACTCCAGTGAAAAATCTGGTTGCCGCCCATTGGACCACTTGGAGCTTCCAAACAGTCTTCAAAGGCAACCCCATGTAGAGTGTGTTGCAGTAGTCTATTCAGGATGTAACAAGAACATGGACCACCGTGGCCAAGTCTGGCTTTTCAAGGTATGGGCGCAGCTGGCGCACAAGTTTTACAAATTCAACTTAAGGACAAATCTACAGGATCTATCTTGTTCATAACTTGGGGACTGATTGTACAGAATTATTCCAGTGGGACTAATTCTTCCCTCGATTTAGACACCATCCTCCTATGACTGATGCCTAGAATTGCACTGGCTTCTTTGTTGACTCATGTTCAGCTTCTGCTCCCGATTGAAATTCGTTTTGTTAGTTGCCACACAGTTCCTCACCACTGCTCCTTCTTTGGAAGCTTTTAAACAGAGGCTGGATGGCCATCTGTCAGGGGTGCTTTGAATGCAATATTCCTGCTTCTTGGCAGAATGGGGTTGGATTGGATGGCCCATGAGGTCTCTTCCAACTCTTTGATTCTATGATTCTATGAATTGTTGAATAGTAAGTTAACTTTTAGGGGAAATTGCTTTCATTTTGTGGGTCTACTGTAGTTGGCATCAACAAATAATATCCAGGCCTTGAGGTTCATATTGTCTTCCAACGACTTCTGGATCTCTTGGAAGAGAGAAAGAGAGAGAAAACACTGTCTGCAGGAGGCTGAAAAGCAATATATATTTTTGGGACAGCGTGAAAGGTCAGGGAATTATCAATTTATTTTGTCTCTTGCGCAGAGGGGGAGCTCGGCCTGAGGTTTATGTTTCTCTGCTGTAGGCGCCCGCATGTCTTGGGACAAAGGATGAGAGGAGTGGAACCGTTCCATCCCATAATTGTTTGGGGACTTGGGTATCCAACTGGTTCTGCTCTGGTTAAGTTCTGGTTGGAAATACAGATTGCAGAATTGCAGGATGGAACAAATTCTGTACATGAGTTATATATATATATATAGGCTCCAACCATCAGAAAGACAACATAACAGATGTTGTGCCATTTCCCTTTTTCTCTACCTTTCTACCTCCGCAACATTTTAGAAGCAGTTAGCGCAACGGAAACTATGTGAAAATGAAAAAGAATCACCAAACGTGCTTTGAGGAAGATTTGAGGACATGGAATATCTGGTTCTTGTACATGGAAACTGCCTTGTTGTGTAATTTCCATCTATGAGCACCACATATTAGCTGTTTCGTCTCAATCCTTTTCTTAATTTGTGAAATTGCACCATTGTGTAATGGTGCAAATTAGAAAAAGAAGCGAAAACCAACCTTTCTGTATGAAATTTGGTCTTTCAATTTTCCTGGGATAATTCCCAAAAATATTACTTTGGAATCCAACCACATATTGGATTTGGCCCGCCAAGTCTTTATCCGAAAGGCATGCCGGAAAGGAACACAGAAGCACAAAATCTGAAAGAGGATCCGCTCAAAGGAGAACCTTCAAGTCATTTCCGACTTATGGCAACCCTATCACAGGTTTTCTAGGGCGGAGAGAGTGTGACTCAGCCAAGGTCACCCAGTTGGTTTCTACGGCTGAGCTCAAATCCTGGCTCTCAAAATATAGCTCAGGGTGCATTTTGTTGTTGTTGTTCATTCGTTCAGTCATTTCCGACTCTTTGTGACCTCATGGACCAGCCCACGCCAGAGCTCCCTGTCGGCTGTCACCACCCCCAGCTCCTAAAAGGTCAAGCCAGTCACTTCAAGGATGCCATCCATCCATCTTGCCCTTCGTCGGCCCCTCTTCCTCTTTCCTTCCATTTTCCCCAGCATCATCGTCTTCCCTAAGCTTTCCTTTCTTCTCATGATGTGGCCAAAGTACTTCATCTTGGCCTCTATTATTCTTCGCTCCAATGAGCAGTCAGGCTTTATTTCCTGAAGTATGGACTGGTTGGATCTTCTCAGGGTGCATTTACACTGCAGACTTCTGGGCTGCGGTAGCACCGAGGTTAAAAGCCACTAGCTCAGTGTTTCTTAACCTTCCTGATGCCGCAACCCCTTAATACAGTTCCTCATGTTGTGGTGACCCCCAACCATAAAATTATTTTTGTTGCTCCTTCATAACTGTAATTTTGCTGTTGTTATGAGTTGCAATGTAAATATCTGATATGCAGGATGTATTTTCATTCACTGGACCAAATTTGGCACAAATACCCAATATGCCCAAATGTGAATTTTGAATACTGGTGTGGTTGGGGTGGGGGTGGGGATTGATTTTGTCATTTAAGAGTTGTAGTTGCTAGGGTTTCTAGTTAACCTAAAATTAAAGAGCATTCTGAAGTTCACCAGCAATGGAATTGAACTAAACTTGGTACACAGAACTCCCATGACCAACAGAAAATACTGGAAGGGTTTGGTGGGCATTGACCTTGAGTTTTGGAAAGTCTGAATCGGCCACGGTGGTCCATGCTCTGGTTACATCCTGTATAGACTATTGCAATGCTCTCTACGTGGGGTTGCCTTTGAAGACTGTCCGCAACGGGCGGTGGCCAGGTTGCTAACAGGAGTGGCGCCCAGGGAGCATACAACTCCTCTGTTGGGCCAGCTCCACTGGCTGCCAATTTGCTACCGAGCACAAAGTGCTGGCTTTGGTCTATCAAGCCCTAAACAGTTCTGGCCCTGCTTACCTATCCGAATGTATCTCTCCTTACAAACCCTCTAGGGCTTAAGATCTTCTGGGGAGGCCCTGCTCTCGGCCCTGCCAACTTCACAGGTTTGATTGGCGGGGACGAGGGATAGGGCCTTCTCAGCGGTGGCCCCTCGGTTGTGGAATGCCCTCCCCAGGAACATTAGATCAGCCCCCACTCTCTTAACATTTCGCAAAAAAGTTAAAACTTGGCTATATGAGCAGGCCTTCCCAAACGCAGTGTAGCTATCAAACTTTGATCTCGGAATGGTTGGACAACGTGATTGGACTGGTAATGAAATGCGGAGGACTTATGGTTTTTATTGTGTTACTCATGTTAATTGTAATGAATTTTTTACCTGTGTTAAATGTTTCTAATGTTACATTATTTTTGTACTGTTGTGGGCATTGAATTGTGCCATTGAGTCACCATTGGGCTGAGAATGGTGGTCTAGAAGCATAGTAAATAGATAAATAAATAAATTTTGGAGTTCACCTTCATCCAGAGAGTACTGTGTGGATTCAAACAATGATAGATCAAGACCAAACTTGGCACGAAAACTCAATATGCCTGAATGTGAACACTGATGGAGTCTGGGGGAAATAGACCTTGGCATTTGGGAGTTGGAATTGATGTGGTTTATAGTTCACCGACAAAAAGGAAGAGAAGGACAGGTGGAGAGATCTTCAGACTTCTCTGCCAACGGGGTTCTTAAGACCATCAGAAATATATGTTTTCTGATGGTCTTTGGCAACCCCCTCATGACCTGACTCCCAGGTTGAGAAACACTGTGCTATTTTCAGGAAAGGCTGCTGATCAGAGGGTCAACAGTTCAAAGCCATGAGTCGGGGTGAGCTCTCATCTGTCAGTCCTAGCTCCTGCCAACCTAGCAGTTTGAAAGCATGTAATGTGAGTAGATCTATAGGTACCGCCTTGATGAAAAGGAAAAATGGTGCCCCATGCAGATATGCCAGCAAAAAGATTGGAGATGTCTATGGATAGCAGGCTCCTTTGGCATGGAAGATAGAACAACAGTACCTCACCATGGCTGGAAGTTGAGCATCACCTCCAGACGCCAAAAATGGAAAAAGGGGAAACCCTTTACCTTATCTGTGTATTGTATGTTGTTGTTTGTGTAAAAAAAAGCATTGAATGTTTGCCTTTTATGTACTGTAATCTGCTCTGAGTTACTCCGGGACGATAAAGTGAAATATAAATGAAGTGTATTATTATTATTATTATTATTATTATTATTATTATTATTATTATTATTAATGTCATTTGACACCACTTTAATTGTAATGGCTCAATGTTAGGGAATCCTGGAAGTTGAACAGGACCCTATACAGAGTCTTTAGAAGGGAACTGAAAGGATGAATGAATGATCTCTATTGAATCGGCAGTTCTAGGAACAGTTGCTATTTTATTTCACCATCTTAGTCACTGGATAACACAAGCACACTGCGATGGAGAAATCCATCTCATTTCAAGAAATACTGTTTAAATTAAAATTGATGTGGAGAGTGGGAATTAAATGTCCTCCTGGGAGTTCCCTGGGAATAATTCAGAAGGAGGACAGCGTCATTGCAAATCCCAAAACAAACAAACGAACAGTAAGGACAGGAACGAGAAACCAGAGATCGATCTTCGGGTGTTTTCAATCTGTCCAGATGGGCCCATCTGTATTAATTTGTATCGACCAAAAATAGCTGTTTTGCAATTGCAGACTCCGCCATCTGAGATTTCTCCAGCAGTTTTGTTGAAATAAAGACTAGCGGGTCACCCTGTTCCCAACACTTCATCTTCTTTAGGCAGGCTTTCGACACCCCGCTTTCTGATGAGTTGCACTTTCAACAGATCTAAATTACGGCAACGTGACACACTTTCAACTTCTGATGCACTTTTCCTCTTTTCTCTCTCTCTCTCAGGCTGGATTGGCACTGATTAGGGTGGCTCTTCTCACAAGTTGCATCTGTTTTTCTTCTCTCTTTCAGTAAGCACCACGTTGTTTGAGAACTGCACGGGATGTATCATGTGTTCGGAGGATAATGGCTGCACCTCCTGCCAACAGAAGCTCTTCCTGCTCCTTTGGAGGGATGGGATCCGCCAATACGGGGCCTGCCTCCATGCTTGCCCATCGGGGTACTTTGGGGTGCGAGGCCAAGAGGTCAACCGATGCATCAGTAAGTGGCCCATTCTAACAATCGTGTCTTTATTGCAGGAATGGGCAGATTTGGTCGATAACCCTACGGATGTGAGAGCTGGACCTTAGGGAAGGCTGAGCGAAGGAAGATCGATGCTTTTGAGCTGTGGTGTTGGAAGAAAGTTCTGAGAGTGCCTTGGACTGCGAGAAGATCCAACCAGTCCATCCTCCAGGAAATAAAGCCCGACTGCTCACTGGAGGGAAAGATACTAGAGACAAAGTTGAAGTACTTTGGCCACATCATGAGGAGACAGGAAAGCCTAGAGAAGACAATTATGCTGGGGAAAGTGGAAGGCAAAAGGAAGAGGGGCCGACCAAGGGCAAGATGGAGGGATGGCATCCTTGAAGTGACTGGACTGACCTTGAGGGAGCTGGGGGTGGTAACGGCCGACAGGGAGCTCTGGCGTGGGCTGGTCCATGAGGTCACGAAGAGTCGGAGACGACTGAACGAATGAACAACAACAGGTGTTTTGGACTTCAACTCCCACAATTCCTAACAGCCGATAGGCTGTTAGGAATTGTGGGAGTTGAAGTCCAAAACACCTGGAGGGACCAAATTTGCCCATGTCTGGATTAATAAAAGTAAATAGTTTTCCCTTGACATTAAGTCCAGTTGTGTCCGACTCCGGGGGTTGGTGATCATCTTCATTTCTAAGCCCATGAGCTGATGTTGTCCACAGACACTTCCAAGGTCATGTGGCCGGCATGACTGCATGGAGTGCCGTTACCTTCCTGCCAAGGCAGTACCTATTGATCTACTCACATTTGCATGTTTTCGAACTGCTAGGTTGGCAGAAGCTGGGGCTAACAGCAGGAGCTTATGCCGCTCCTCGGATTCAAACCTGCGACCTTTCGATCAGCAAGTTCAGCAGCTCAGTGCTTTAACCCACTGTTGTTCATTCGTCAAGTCTCTTCCGACTCTTCGTGACCTCATGGATCAGCCCACACCAGAGCTCCCTGTCGGCCGTCACCACCCACAGCTCCTTCAAGGTCAAGCCATTCACTTCAAGGATGCCATCCATCCATCTTGCTCTTGGTCAGCCCTTCTTCCTTTTTCCTTCCATTTTCCCCAGCATCATTGTCTTCTCTAGGTGACCTCATGGACCATCCCCCGCCAGAGCTCCCTGTCAGCCGTGGCCACCCCCAGCTCCTTCACAGTCAAGCCAGTCACTTCAAGGATGCCATCCATCCATCTTGCCCTTGGTTGGCCCCTCTTCCTTTTTCCTTCCATTTTTCCCCAGCATCATTTCCTGTCTTCTCATGATGTGGCCAAAGTACTTGGCCTCTACTATCCTTCCCTCCAATGAGCAGTCGGGCTTTAATCCACTACACAATGCATATCACGAAAGCACACTGCAGTGTACTTCAAGCCCCAACACAAGCAAAAGCAGGGGAAATCTAAAAATGAAGACCTTGATGGGCATCGGCATGCTGTAGTATAAACGAAATTGCCCCGCAGAAGGTGAATTGGTATTCAGACACCCAAAGTACTCCATTGATGTGCTTCATGCGCATTCCAGAAGGTTGAGTTGGAAAAAAAGGCAGCATTATTCATAGTTGTAAAGTGGTGAATCCTGGAACTGGTTTGAGGCCAGCCTCTCACAGAATCATAGAATCCTAGAGTTGGAAGAAGACCTGGTGGGCCATCCAGTTCAACCCCATTCTGCCAAGAAGCAGGAAAATCACATTCAAAGCACCCCTGACAGATGGCCATCCAGCCTCTGCTTAAAAGACTCCAATGAAGGAGCCTATACCATAGTCCGTGCAGAGAGTTCCACTGCTGAACAGCTTTCACAGCCAGTAAGTTCTTCCTGATGTTCAGATCAAATCTCCTTTCCTGTCGTTTGAAGCCATTGTTCATCGTCCTAGTCTCCAGGGCAGCAGAAAACAAGCCTGCTCCCTCCTCCTTATGTTTTCCCCTCACATATTTATCCATGGCCATCATGTCTCCTTTTAGCCTTCTATTCTTCAGGCTAAACATGCCCAGCTCTTTAAGATGCTCCTCATAGGGCTTGTTCTCCAGACCCTCCTCTGGACACATTCCATCCTAGAGTCAACATCTCCCTTCAATTATGGTGCCCAGAATTGGACACAGTGTGTTTCCAGGTGTGGTCTGACCACATCTCAGTCTGTGTGATCACCATCTAAGGCTCAAACTGGCCAATCACAAAACAATGTACCTCAATGCAAGATGCTTAAGTGACGATAAGCAAATGCCACGAAAAATGCTTTCGTGAGGACAATCGAATCATAAATACAGTGAAACCACTTTGTTCGATACTGATTTCAAACTGACCTAAAGTGGAGAGTGTCATTTTGGGTTGTTGTAGGCTTTTTCGGGCTATATGGCCATGGTCTAGAGGCATTCTCTCCTGACGTTTCGCCTGCATCTATGGCAAGCATCCTCAGAGGTAGTGAGGTCTGTTGGAACTAGGAAAAAGGGTTTATATATCTGTGGAATGACCAGGGTGGGACAAAGGACTCTTGTCTGCTGGAGCTAGGTGTGACTGTTTCAACTGACCACCTTGATTAGCATACAATGGCCTGACGGTGCCTGGAGCAAACTTTTGTTGAGAGGTGATTAGATGTCCTTGTTTGTTTCCTCTCTATTGTTGCGCTGTTGCAGTTTTAGAGTTTTTTTTAATACTGGTCGCCAGAGTTTGTTCATTTTCATGGTTTCTTCCTTTCTGTTGAAATTGTCCACCTGCTTGTGGATTTCAATGGCTTCTCTGTGTAGTCTGACATGGTGGTTGTGAGAGTGGTCCAGCATGTTTGTGTTCTCAAATAATATGCTGTCTCCAGGTTGGTTCATCAGGTGCTCTGCTATGGCTGATTTCTCTGGTTGAAGTAGTCTGCAGTGCCTTTCATGTTCCTTGATTCATGTTTGGGCGCTGCATTTGGTGGTCCCTATGTAGACTTGTCCACAGCTGCATGGTACATTCACACCTAGCTCCAGCAAACAAGAGTCCTTTGTCTCACCCAGGTCATTCCACAGATATATAAATACTTTTTCCTAGTTCCAACAGACCTCACTACCTCTGAGGATGCTTGCCATAGATGCAGGTGAAACATCAGGAGAGCATGCCTCTAGAACATGGCCATATAGCCTGGAAAAACCTACAACAACCCAGTGATTCCGGCCATGAAAGCCTTTGACAATACAGTGCCATTCTGCCTTGTTGCCTCTGCCAGATGGTTGTAGAGCTCTGTAAGACCTTTGGCCTTCATGTATGTCCAATGCTGGCAGCCATGGAGGAGGCATGCTGACTGGTGCATTGTGGAAGTTGCAGTGCAGGGGTGGACAGGAGCAGTCTCCTTCTGCCTGGGAATATTCAGCCTGTTTAGTAAAAATCTCTCTTGAATGTTTCAGTTATTTATTTGTCGTGTCAGAGCAGCCAGTCCATTATATTACATTTCTAACAGAACAAAGCAAACAAACAGAAAAATACACAACTTGTGAGTTTGGTAGCTGGCTAAATGTCCTTTGACCAGTATCTGGCCACTTGGAGTGCTTCCGGTGTTGCCGCAAGAAGGTCCTCCATGGTGCATGTGGCAGGGCTCAGGTTGCATTGCAGCAGGTGGTCAGTGGTTTGCTCTTCTCCACAATCGCATGTCGAGGATTCTACTTTGTAGCCCCATTTCTGAAGGTTGGCTCTGCATCTCGTGGTGCCAGAGCGCAGTCTGTTCAATGCCTTCCAAGTCGCCCAGTCTTCTGTGTGCCCAGGAGGGAGTCTCTCATTTGGTATCAGCCATTAGTTGAAGTGCAGGGTTTGAGCCTGCCACTTTTGGACTCTCACTTGCTGAGGTGTTCCAGCGAGTGTCACTGTAGATCTTAGAAAACTATGTCTAGATTTAAGTCGTTGGCGTGCTGGCTGATACCCAAACAGGGGATGAGCTGGAGATGTCTCAGTTGACTATTGCTGTGTCCCATGGGTTCTCTCTTTGCCTCTGCAGAATGCCGGTCGCCCAACTGTGAGATCTGCTTCAGCAAAGACTTCTGCATAAAATGCAAGAAGCCATTCTACTTGCACAAAGGCAAATGCTTCAGCACGTGTCCCCTAGACACGATGGCACAGCCCAGTACCCAGGAATGCAAGCCAGGCAAGTAGCTTTTGCCCCTTGTGATGCAAAGTCAACGCCCCTGTCCGACTTCCTATTTTTGGGGGGAACGTGGTTGCAATTGTTTTGCGTCTTGCTCTCCCTTCCAGAAAAGTGTGAGATGGGGCCGTGGGGCAACTGGAGCCCCTGCACCAACCAAGGGCAGACGTGCGGCTGGCGGTGGGGCTCAGCCACAAGGAGCCGGGAGGCCATCAAGAGCAGCAAAGAGGAAACAGAGGCATGCCCAGCGCTGACTGAGTCCAGGAAATGCCGCATGAAGAAGCGCTGCCCTGGAGGTAAGGGTCTAAAGCAGCATTTCTCAATTTGGGGGTCAGGGCCCTTGCGGGGTCACGAGGGGGTGTCAAAAGGGTCACCAAAGACCATCAGAAAACAATATTTTATGTTGGTCATGAGGGTGCTGGTTGGGAAGTCTGGCCCAATTCTATCATTGGTGGGGTTCAGAATGCTCTTTGATTGTGGGTGAACTATAAATCCCAGGAACTACAACTCTCAAATGCCAATGCCTATTTTCCTCAAACTCCATCAGTGTTCATATTTTAGTATATTGAGTATTCGTGCCAAGTTTGATTCAGATGTTTGAGTCCACAATGCTCTCTAGATGTAGGTGAACTACAACCGCATTGAGTCGCCTGTTAAGGGCTGAAAAATGCGGTATAGAAATAAAGCAAATAAATAAATAAATAAATAAACCCCCAAACTCAAGGTCAAATTCCCAAACCCTTCCAGTATTTTCTGTTGGTCGTGGGAGTTCTGTGTGCCAAGTCTGGTGCAATTCCATTGTTGGTGGAGTTCAGAATTATTGTAGGTGAACTATAAATCCCAGGAACTACAACTCCCAAGTGTCAAGGCCTATTTTCCCCAAACTCCATCAGTGTTCACATTTCAGCATATTGAGTATTCGTGCCAAGTTTGATCCAGATGTTTGAGTCCACAATGCTCTCTGGATGTATTTATTTATTTACTTCACTTGTATACCGCCATTCTCAGCCCTAAGGCGACTCATAGCGGTTTACAACAGTCGAGCACAAACAAAGCGAACAATCAATGCAAAAATTCAATGCGGTATCAACAGGTAATTAAAAACAGTTAACACAGAAACAAGTTAAGCAATTAACAATAATAGACAATCAATCAATTGGCATCTCATAACTAGAATCATGATCCAACTCGTCAGTCATAGTTCCATTTCCTAAAATTCATTGCACTTTTTATTCAAACGCCTGTTCGAATAACCAAGTCTTCACTCTTCTCCGGAATACCATCAATGAGGGAGCCAATCTGATGTCCGTGGGCAGGGCGTTCCACAGCCGAGGGGCCACCACCGAGAAGGCCCTGTCTCTCGTCCCCGCCAGCCACGCCTGTGATGCAGGCGGGATCGAGAGCAGGGCCTCCCTGGAAGATCTCAAAGTCCTGGTGGGTTCATAGGTGGAGATGCGGTCGGATAGGTAACTTGGGCCAGAACCGTTTAGGGCTTTATAGGCCGCCAGCACCTTGAATTGAGCCCGGTAGCAAATCGGCAGCCAGTGGAGCTGGTACAACAGGGGGGTTGTATGCTCCCTGCGTCCTGCTCTTGTTAGTATCATGGCTGCCGCACGTTGGACCAGTTGAAGCTTCCGGGCCGTCTTCAAAAGCAACCCCACGTAGACAGCGTTGCAGTAGTCTAAACGGGATGTAACCAGAGGTGAACTACAACCCCCAAACTCAAGGTCAAACTCCCAAACCATTCCAGAATTTTCTGTTGGTCGTGGGAGTTCTGTGTGCCAAGTCTGGTTCAATTCCATTGTTGGTGGAGTTCAGAATGATTGTAGGTGAACTATAAACCCCAGCAACTACAACTCCCAAATGACAAAATCACACCCCCCCCCCAACCCTACCAGTATTAACACAAGTGATAACACAAGTTCCACTTGCACAGTTGTAATTCGCTAGTTTTTTTATACAATCTTTCAAACAAAGCGCATAGTTTTCAGAGGAAAAAATGTAGGCTATTTTTTTAAAAAAAAATAATGCATGGTTTTTTGCACAAATGGTCTTTGCACTTCCCTGTATATGAAAAAATCATTTTAAAACACGAAATAACAACCTTGTTCTTTGGGAATATCCTTCATAAATCATTGCTTTATTACAAAATAAAAGAAGCCAAAACGGGGGAGAAAGAGACGCTTCCAAATGGCAAAATGCTGGACTTCATTTGGATTTATTGAGGAGTAAAAACACATGTGCGGATGAGTCAGGGGGCGATAACTTAGAAGTCCACTTTGTGTCAAACGTGCCCTTCGGGGCCTTTGGCTTCAGAGAAGGAGAACACCTGGTTGGCATCTAGAAGGTCTCCGGTTCATTCTTCGGCATCTCAAGCTGAAGGGTCTCCGGTATCAGATTTGGGAGAGACCCCCTCAAGCCCCGGGCAGTGCTTGTCAATCAAAGAAGAGCAGACCAGTCTGTTCCAGATTAAAGCCAAGACTAACGTTGTGAACATAATCAGCAAATTCCTCCCTAGTCTCCCATATTGAGTTGTGTTGTGCATTCACTTGCACATTTGGTTGTGTATTGCTAAATGCCATACTGCCATTTGAGAAAAGGCTTGTAGGGAAGGCTGAGCGAAGGAAGAGAGATGCTTTTGAACTGTGGTGTTGGAGGAAAGTTCTGAGAGTGCCTTGGACTGCGAGAAGATCCAACCAGTCCATCCTCCAGGAAATAAAGCCCGGCTGCTCACTGGAGGGAAGGATACTAGAGGCAAAGATGAAGTCCTTTGGCCACATCATGAGGAGACAGCAAAGCCTAGAGAAGACAATGATGCTGGGGAAAGTGGAAGGTAAAAGGAAGAGGGGCCGACCAAGGGCAAGATGGATGGATGGCATCCTTGAAGTGACTGGACTGACCTTGAAGGAGCTGGGGGTGGTGACGGCCGACAGAGAGCTCTGGCGTGGGCTGGTCCATGAGGTCACGAAGAGTCGGAGACGACTGAAAGAATGAACAACAACAACACAATCAAGTTGTAGCTCTCGATGTGGAGATTTACCCTAAACTTACATGGGATTTTAGCCAGTAGCATTGCAGAACTACAATTCCCTATATTGTTGAACTCTAAACTCTAAAATTACAACAGCACAGCAGAGAGGAAACAAACAAGGACATCTAATCTCCTCTCAACAACAGTTTGCTCCAGGCACTGCCAGGCCATTATATGCTAATCAAGGTGGTCAGTTGAAACATTCACACCTAGCTCCAGCAGACAAGAGTTCTTTGTCCCACCCTGGTCTTTCCACAGATATATAAACCCCTTTTCCTAGTTCCAACAGACCTCACTACCTCTGAGGATGCTTGCCATAGATGCAGGTGAAACATCAGGAGAGAATGCCTCTAGACCATGGCCATATAGCCCGAAAAAACCTACAACAACCCAGGGATTCTGGGTGTTATAGTTCCATTACATCTAGAAGGCTGCACCATTTTTTTCCTGTTTTGAACCAAACCCTTATGACAAGGCAGCCTGGCATGGTAGAATTTTCCAAAAAGGCATGGAAATTTTGGGAAAACAGGAAGCTCAATTGGCTGTTCTCCTTCGCTTTGGGTAGTGCAAGAGCTGTTTTCTGGGTTTTGTTTCTGTTTTTAGTCTCGAGGGAGCTGAACTCATCCTCTTGAGCAAAGTGCATAAAAACTTTGAAGGGAAGCCTTCATGTGAGCTGAATGAAAAGACAACAGAAAACAGAAGCATTGGAGCTGGAGATGTTTTATTTGTTTCTTTTGTACTGTTCCATTATCCAGGTGGAGGCCACAGGGGGGCGCTAGAGAGAGAAGGATAGTCCATCTTACAGTGGGGGAGTTTTCACTGGTTATTCCCCCTCCCTGCTTCCCATTTAATAAATGAGGGTTGCTTCCACAATGGGGACGTGGATGGGGGAAATAACAGGAAAACAAGGGGGAATTAGGTTCTTGTGGGTTTTTTCGGGCTATAGAGCCATGTTCTAGAAATTGTTGGAAAGGGGGAATTGTTTTCCTCTTTCAACCCACCCTCCAGCCTCATAAAATGGACTATATTATTATTATAATATTTATTTATATTTAAATTGCCAATATCCGCTGGATAATGGAGAAAGGCAGGGAGTTTCAGAAAAATATCTATTTCTGTTTTATTGACTATTCTAAAGCCTTTGACTGTGTGGATCATAATAAATTGTGACAAGTTCTTGGTGGTATGGGCATACCAAATCACCTTGTCTCTCTCCTGAGGAATATGTATCAGGACCAAGTAGCAAAAGTAAGAACTGACCATGGAACAACAGACTGGTTCAGGATTGGGAAAGGCGTACAACAGGGTTGTATACTCTCACCCAACCTATTCAACATGAATGCAGAACACATGTGATGTGCAGGGCTTGATGAATACAAGGCTGGGGTTAAAATTGGTGGAAGAAACATTAACAACCTTAGATATGCAGATGACACCACTCTGTTGGCTGAAAGTGAGGAGGAGCTGAGGAGGCTTCTAATCAAGGTGAAAGAAGAAAGCGCAAAAGCTGGATTGCAGTTAAACATAAAAAAACCCCAAGATTATGTCAACAAGAATGATTGACAACTGGGAAATAGAGGGAGGAAACGTGGAGTCAGTGACAGACTTTGTATTTCTAGGTGCAAAGATTACTGCAGATGCAGACTCCGGCCAGGAAATCAGGAGACGCTTACTTCTTGGGAGGAGAGCAATGTCCAATCTCAATAAAACAGTGAAGAGTAGAGACATCACACTGGCAACTAAGATTCACATAGTCAAAGCAATGGTATTCCCCGTAGTCACCTACGGATGTGAGAGCTGGACCTTAGGAAAGGCTGGGCGAAGGAAGATCGATGCTTTTGAGCTGTGGTGTTGGAGGAAAGTTCTGAGAGTGTCTTGGACCGCAAGAAGATCCAACCAGTCCATACTTCAGGAAATTAAGCCCGACTGCTCATTGGAGGGAAGGATAGTAGAGGCCAAGATCTTTGGCCACATCATGAGAAGAAAGGAAAGCTTAGAGAAGACAATGATGCTGGGGAATATGGAAGGAAAAAGGAAGAGGGGCCGACCAAGGGCAAGATGGATGGATGGAATCCTTGAAGTGACTGGATTGACCTTGAAGGAGCTGGGGGTGGTGACGGCCGACAGGGAGCTCTGGCCTGGTCCATGAGGTCATGAAGAGTCGGAGACGAGTGAACAAATGAACAACAAATTTATTTATATCTCGCTTTATCTCTCCCGAAAGAGACTCAAAGCAACTTAACATAAAAGCATTATAGCATACAATTCAAAATATACAAACATGCAAACATTAAAACAGAATTAAATATAAACAGTATTAAAGGCAGATGTGAGGCAGTGGTATAATGCACACAGGTAATAAATACTGTATGCCACCACATATCAATTGCACCCTCTTTTTTTGGTCTTCTTTTTGCTTTCATCACATAATGCAGATTTCCATGGCAGAGCAAATGATTACTTGAAGTAATTACTATATCAGTAATACTGAAATACCAATCATACTCCGAGACCCACTTTCTCCTACAATATGTAAACATGACTGAGTTTCAGGATTGTCAGTAATTACTTTTGACCGAATAAGGGGAAAAGAATTGTTAAATTCAGGAAATCTATCCTTCTCTCTCTAGCGCCACCTTCTGGCCTCTGCTCAGATAATGGAACTGTACTGTTTATGCCTGTCATAAAAAGGAAAGAGTGGAGATAATCAAGGGGGCATCTGCACTGTAAAACAAATGCAGTTTTGCACCACTTTAGTTATCATGGCTCAGCTATGGAATTATGGAAGTTGTACTGTTACAAGATCTTCAGCCTTCTCTATCAAATACTGCTAGTGCCTTACCAAACTGCAGTTCCCTTGATTCCTTAGCATTTTACTACAGTGGTTACAGTAGGGTCAAACACTACATTCATTCTACAATGTAGATACTCCTCTAGACTAGACAGATCATTGGTCAGTGTGGGAATAAGGCATCTTGATTGGCATGGCTGCCAGTTGAAGCTTGCAATCTGGGTTTGTCTCATAATGGGGATTTTTTATCTGTGCAGTTCTACAATCATGAAAATATTATTTTTGCACTTCAAGTTGGGTTGTACTTACTGCAACCCTACCATGGACTACAATTCCCACTAAAAACAGATAGTTCTATCCCAGTCCTAGGCTTGTGTGTAGGGTGAAATGCAACTGCCTTGTAGCCAGTCTTTAAGATACCGCTTTCACTGAGGACAGCTTTCACCAACCTAATACCTGCCAGAATCTTGCTGGACTCCATCAAACCCCATGTTGTTGTTGTTCATTCATTCAGTCGTCTCCGACTCTTCGTGACCTCATGGACCAGCCTACGCCAGAGCTCCCTGTCGGCCGTCACCACCCCCAGCTCCTTCATGGTCAATGCAGTCACTTCAAGGATGCCATCCATCCATCTTGCCCTTGGTCGGCCCCTCTTCCTTTTGCCTTCCATTTCCCCAGCATAAATGTCTTCTCTAGGCTTTGCTGTCTCCTCATGATGTGGCCAAAGTACTTCAACTTTGTCTCTAGTATCTTTCCCTCCAGTGAGCAGTCGGGCTTTATTTCCTGGAGGATGGACTGGTTGGATCTTCTCGCAGTCCAAGGCACTCTCAGCACTTTCCTCCAACACCACAGCTCAAAAGCATCGATCTTCCTTCGCTCAGCCTTCCCTAAGGTCCAGCTCTCACATCCGTAGGTGACTACAGGGAATACCATGGCTTTGACTAGGCGGATCTTTGTTGCCAGTCTGATGTCTCTACTCTTCATTATTTTATAGAGATTGGCCATTGCTCTTCTCCCAAGAAGTAAACATCTTCTGATTCCCTGGCTGCAGTCTGAATCTGCAGTAATCTTTGCACCTAGAAATACAAAGTCTGTCACTGCCTCCACGTTTTCTCCCTCTATTTGCCAGTTATCAATCAGTCTTGTTGCCATAATCTTGGTTTTTTATGTTTAGCTGCAACCCAGCTTTTGCACTTTCTTCTTTCACCTTGATTAGAAGGCTCCTAAGCTCCTCCTCGCTTTCGGCCATCAGAGTGGTGTCATCTGCATATCTGAGTTTGTTAATGTTTCTTCCAGCAATTTTCACCCCAGCCTTGCATTCATCAAGCCCCGCACATCGCATGTGTTCTGCATACAAGTTGAATAGGTTGGGTGAGAGTATACAACCCTGCCGTATGCATTTCCCAATCTTGAACCAGTCTGTTGTTCCGTGGTCAGTTCTTACTGTTGCTCCTTGGTCCTTGTACAGATTCCTCAGGAGAGAGGGAAGGTGGCTTGGGATGCCCATCCCACCAAGAACTTGCCACAATTTATTATGATCCACACAGTCAAAGGCTTTAGAGTAGTCAATGAAGCAGAAGTAGATGTTTTTCTGAAACTCCCTGCCTTTCTCCATTATCCAGCGGATATTGGCAATCTGGTCTCTCGTTCCTCTGCCTTTTCTAATCCCAGCTTGAACATCTGGCAACTCTCGCTCCATGTATTGCTGGAGTCTTCCTTGCAGGATCTTGAGCATTACCTTACTGGCATGAGAAATAAGGGCCACTGTACGGAAGTTTGAGCAGTCTTTCGCATTTCCCTTTTTTTGGTATGGGGATATAAGTTGATTTTTTTCCAGTCTGATGGCCATTCTTGTGTTTTCCATATTTGCTGGCAAATGGCATGCATCACCTTGACAGCATCATCTTTTAAGATTTTAAACAGTTCAGCTGGGATCCCGTCGTCTCCTGCTGCCTTGTTGTTAGCAATGCTTCTTAAGGCCCATTCAACCTCACTCCTCAGGATGTCTGGTTCTAATTCATTCACCACACCGCCAAAACTATCCTCAATATTATTATCCTTCCTATACAGATCTTCTGTATAGTCTCGCCACCTTCTCTTGATCTCTTCAGCTTCTGTTAGGTCCCTGCCATCTTTGTTTCTTATCATACCAATTTTTGCCGGAAATTTACCTCCAATGTTTCTAATTTTCTGGAAGAGGTCTCGTGTCCTTCCTATTCTGTTGTCTTCTTCCACTTCCATGCATTGCTTATTTAAAAATAGTTCCTTATCTCTTCTGGCTAAGCTCTGGAATTGCGCATTTAACTAGTGATAGAAACAGCCTCCTAAACAACTAATTCTGATTGACCTCAGCCAGTATTTATTTATCGTAGCAGGAGCGAACCAATGATTTTTAAAAAACAAAACACAAAGTTTGCAAACTTGGCATTCTGTTAAATGTCCTTTTACCAGTAACTGGCCATTTGGAGTGCCTCTGGTGTTGCTTTAAAAATGTCCTCCATTGTGCATGTGGCAGGGCTGAGGTTGCATTGCAGCAGGTGGTCAGTGGTTTGATCTTCTCCACACTCACATGTCGTGGACTCCACTTTGTGGCCCTGTTTCTTAAGGTTAGCTCTGCATCTCGTGGTGCCAGAGCGCAGTTTATTGAGCGCCTTCCAAGTCGCCCAGTTTTCTGTGTGCCCAGGGGGGAGACTCTCATTGGGTATCAGCCACTGATTGAGGTTAGTGATAAAACATGAGGATAATGAGACCCTGAAGTTAGATTTGCATCAGGTGTACGAGATAATGAATGCATGAATGGAACATTGCATCGTGCAAGTGTATATAAGATGATGTTATGATATATGTTCTCAACATGTGGATCCCCAGATGTTTTGACCTTCAACTCCCAGAAACCCCTTAATACAGTTCCCCATGTTGTGGTGACCCCCAACCATAACATTATTTTTGTTGCTACTTCATAACAATAATTTTGCTACTGTTGTGAATCGAAATGTAAATATCTGATATGCAGGATGTATTTTCATCCACTGGACCAAATTGGCACAGATATCCAATACTCCCAAATTTGAACACTGGTGAGGTTGGAGCGGGGGATTGACTTTGTCATTTGGGAGTTATAGTTGCTGGGATTTGTAGTTAACCTACAATCAAAGAGCATTCTGAACTTCACCAATAATGGAATTGAACCAAACGTGGCACACAGAGCTCCCAGGATCAACAGAAAATACTGGAAGGGTTTGACCTTGAGTTTTGGAGTTGCGGTTCACCTACATTCAGAGAGCACTGGGGACTCAAACATTTTTTTTCGTGTCCAGAGTGACCTGAGAAACTGCAAGTCGCTTCTGGTGTGAGAGAATTGGCCGTCTGCAAGAACATTGCCCAGGGGACGCCCAGATGATTAGATGTTTTATCATCCTTGTGGGAGGCTTCTCTCATGTCCCCACATGAAGAGCTAGAGCTGGTAGAGGGAGTTCATCCGCCTCTTCCCGAATTCAAACCTGCAACCTGTCGGTCTTCAGTCCTGCCAGCACAGGGGTTTAACCCACTGCACCACCGGGGGCTCAACTCAAACAATGATAGATCAGGACCAAACATGGCACAGATAATCAATATGCCCAAATGTGAACACTGGTGGCATTTGGGGAAAACAGACCTTGGCATTTGGAATTTTTAGTTGTTGGATGAATAGTTCACCTACAATCAAAGAGCATTCTGAAACCCACCAACAATCGAATTGGGCCAAGCTTCCCACACAGAACCCCCATGACCAACAGAAAATACTGTGTTTTCTAATGGTCTTTGGAGACCCCTCTGACACCCCCTTGCGACCCCGCCCCAGGTGTCCTGACCCCCAGATTGAGAAACGCTGCTAGAGATGGTACTTTAATACTGCTTGGAGGTTTGAACTAAGAAACTCTGCTTTAGATTGAAGAAATACCTGACAATTTCTTGTTTTTGACTTTCAGAGAAGAAAGGAAAGAGAAACCAAAGGAAAGAGAAGAGGGAAAGGAAACAAAGGAGAAGGAAGAAACTGGACGCTCTCCTGGCCACCTAATCCGTTTCAAAGCAAGTGGAAGGTCCTGGGGAGGGTTGGGGAGCGACACACAAGGCAGTCCACCAGGTAGTCCACCAAGATGTGGCCTCTCTCTGCAGCCTCTCGGTGAAATCTCTTTCCCGTCATTACGTTTTTCTCCTGGTTCCTTTCCATCCAGATAATGCCTTCTAGCCCTGCTTTCCAGAAAGAGAGAAGAGGGGTCATGTTATGGCCTGTTGAATGCGATACCCTTTACAGATCCAGATTTTTAGCCCCCCTAGCATTTCCCCTGCCACAAGATTTCCAAGTTCTGGTTCATTGAAATATTCATGAGTTTGCACACATAGAACACCACTGGGAGAAACATTACGCCCGTACATTGCTGGTCCTGCGTGTAATAAATGGAGTGGTGCCCTAAATGGTTTTGCAACAGAAGACAAGGAATAATATCCCTCCACCACCAGGGACCCAGGGAGAAGAAGACCTCCACAAAGATACCAGGACTTCCCAAACTCCATGATGGACTGGAAAATGTAGGCCTAAGACTATTATTCGCCAATGCATTGTTACATCTTTCTCCAAAGTAGCACAACAGTTAACATTGACATGGATTCTATTAAAGATGGATGGATAACTCCTTATCTTGTCCAAAAAGACTGATACACCTAGTTCATTGCATCCTTCACCTTGGCATGGAACCAACAAGCTAAGATAACTCATTACTCCATAGTGAAAGGTGTCTGGATTGAACCCAACATTCTTGACCCATCAAGAACAGTGGAGCAGTTGACTAGACAGCTGTTCCCTGAGCTCAGCCTACTTTCCAGTGGGATCAAGAAAGGCAGGAGACTTCTTGCAGGATGGAGAAGCCAAACAGATGGTCTAGAACAATTTCCTGGGGTCATCTTGGGCTCTTGATCTCTGACAACTGCGTTCTTCAGTTGGCTTTAATGAGGTTCATCCAGATCTCCTAGTGGGCCTCCAAGATGGATTGTTCTACATGTTCCACAGTTGCGTCCAGACTCTTTTCTTTGGAAGTAGGTTGCTGGAAGTATTTTCATATGTTGCAATATATGTTGAGCGCAGGTTAAGGCAACCCCAGACATGACCAAAGATGGCCTCCATATTGGACCTACCGCACCCTACAAAGTTCTTAGCTTTCAAATGCTCCAAACTCCATTCTGCTCAGACCTTCTCTACCTTAATGCTGAAAATCTGCTGCTTTGCCTCTTTGCTTCCTTCCTGCACAAAGCTCTGTCTTGCCCATCCTCTCCACTGAGAAGAAATAGGGAATAAAGAGGAGGCATCTCTATCCAACACTTGTCTTGGCCATAGCAATGGATCACCTACATTTGCTTAGTAAAGCAATAGTGAACCTTTGTTCAAACCCCAGTTTTAGAATCAGGAATTAGAGGGGACCTTGGAGATGAAACCAAACCTGGCTGGTGTCCAGGAGCCCTGTCATGTGCTGAAATGGCACTGTAGACCATTCCTAATGAACAGCAAAGTAAAATTGTGGATTTGATGAGTTTTTAAAAGAGTTAGTTAATAGACTCTTCTGGTTAGCTTTCCACTGTTTTCGTTCTTTTCTTCTGCACTGTCCTAAACTGAAAATGAATTGGTGCCTTGGATTGCATCTACCTGGAATTAGATTGGCCCTAGGGACAGAAAGGTGAAATAAATATTCAACAAGTAGTTTAAAGCCTCTACACAAGGGACCTTGGGTTGACCTACCCACATCTTTAGGAACTTTATAGGTCCTCCAGGTAATTCTATGGTATGCTTCTGTTGGTTGCTTCCATAGAATCACCCTCAAGGACCTAGAACAGTGGTTCTCAACCTGGGGTCCCCAGATGTTTTTGGCCTACAACTCCCAGAAATCCCAGCCACTTCACCAGCTGTTAGGATTTCTGGGAGTTGGAGGCCAAAAACATCTGGGGACCCCAGGTTGAGAACCACTGACCTAGAAGATTCTTTGGGAGGATAGGAAAGGTAAAGGTTTCCCCTGACATGAAGTCTAGTCATGTCCAACTCTGGGGGGTGGTGCTCACCTCCATTTCTAAGCCGAAGAGCTGTCACTGTTGACACCTCCAAGGTCATGTGGCCAGTATGACTGCATGGAGCACCATTATGCCGGTCACATGACCTTAAGAGGTCATGTGGCAAAAGTCATTCATTACAATAGAGTTCTATGGTAACTTTAGTAAGGTTTTATGGTAACATGTTCATTTCAACAAGGTTCATATTATCCCCAGTTTCCTGTTTTCATGGTAAGTTCAGAAACATACTCCCAAGGGGAACAGAGTTGTACTCTATGTATGAAAAGGTCTATCTCTTTCCCTTTGGGTCATTTGGAGAGAGCCTCCAAAAAGACGGGGCTCTCCTTGTGCAACAAGCAACGCAGTGGAGACTCTCCCTATGGGATCCAGAACCTCAGAAATCCCCATTCCAGATCACATCCTGCACAGATTGAGGAGACCCTTACCTTCTGGAAATTGTTCTTTGAGTAAGGAGAAAGACACCAGAGAGAATAAAGGTGGTACCAGAGCACTTCCCTCTTTGCATACATATTGTATTGCATACCTATTGTATGCACTTCCTCTCTTTGCATACGTATTGTATATACCTGGTGTCGATGGGGCTGCTGCCTGCCTATTTTCTCCCTTCTCCGACTCTGAGAAGGTCTGTCTCACAATGACTCCATGGCAATACTCTGGCAACAATGGGCAAGCTTGCTCTGTGGCTCTTTCTTTCCTTCCTCTATTTTCCTCATACACCTTCTCCCTTTTGTTTATTTCTTTTTTTCTTCCCTTGCTTTCCCTCATACATTCCCTCTCCTTCCTTCCTTCCTTCCTTCCTTCCTTCCTTCCTTCCTTCCTTCCTTCCTTCCATCCATCCATCCATCCATCCATCCATCCTTTTTCTCTTCTCTCCCTTCCTTTGCCCCCTTTTCCCTTCCTTTCTCTTACCTTTTTTCTCTTTCTTTCCTCCTATCATTCCTTTCCCCCTTTATTTTCTCCCTCTCCCTTTTCTTTCTCCTCTATTTTCCCTTCCTCCTTTCCTTTTCCTTTCCTTCTTATGTCTTTCTTTCCTTCCTTCTTCTCTTACCCTCATACATATGTCACCTTTCTTTCCTAGTAACATCACAAAGGCCTCTTGACGTTGTAACAGCCTTTGTGGTGCAAACAAACATAGATACTTTAACTATATATATATGGCTTGGTTGATCAAAAAATGGTTCAAAACCTGTTTCGGATGTAGGGGACGCTGGCGGTTTGATTCTAAAGTCAATTTCGATTTTCACAGAAAAAAATGTTCAAAACTTTTCAGAACTTCCAAGACTTCTGAATCTTTTCGTTGATGGTTTGAAAGTGTTATTTCCTGTTTCATTGAGTGGTCTTTACTTTGAAAGTAGTTGTTTTACTCCAGAACCTTCTCTGGTTTAAAACTGGCTTCTCTGGCTTTAAAACTGGCTTTTCTGGCTTGAGCCGAGGCCAGGAAATTCCTTCCTTCTCTGGTTTAAACCTGGCTTCTCTGGCTTGAGCCGAGGTCAGGGACTAGAAGTGGGGGGAAAGCAAGCAGAGGAAATTCCTTCCTTCTCTGGTTTAAAACTGGCTTCTCTGCCTTTAACACTGGCTTCTCTGCCTTTAACACTGGCTTCTCTGGCTTGAGCCAAGGCCAGGGACTAGAAGCGAAGGAAAATCAAATAGAGGAAATTCCTTCCTTCTCTGGTTTAAAACTGGCTTCTCTGCCTTTAAAACCAGCTTTGGCTTGAGCCAAGGTCAAGGACCAGAAGCAGGGAAAAGTTGAATTATTTCCAACTCACTTCACAAGTCGTAAGAAAAATGGCAGAAAAGGCTTTGGAAGGGCAAAGGGACTTTCCGGTTTTCTTAAAAACTTCAAAATCGCTTCAAAAAGGTAATTTTTCCGACTTTATTTCAAATAGCAAAGATTCTGACGGTAACTAACCATGCCTAATATATATATAGAGGGGAGGGGAGAGCTATTTGCTGAAGGCTTGAATAGGCAATGGTGAGTCTGTCTGTCCTGCACAGTTCCTATTGAAATGCTTTTGGTCTTTAGCAATCAGCAACCACTACATCTACAGATGTTTACATGCACTCTAAGTCTCCGTAGGTCCTTTTCTTGAGCAAATTTTGTATGTCAGATACGTTGGGGTTTTATGTAATTCTGGATGAAGCGAAATGACATTTTATTGTTTCTATAAATAACAAATAAAAGTTATATATTATATAATTATATATATATTAAAATATAAAGAATTTATTTCTAGAATGTCCATGTATTTAAAAAAAATGCCCTTCATTTTATATGGATATAAGAAGTATGTGTTTTATTTTTGAATTTTGCATATTTTTTTGTTATAAAATGTTGCCTTGTATATCAAACTGTATATCAGGACTTTGGCTGAGGAAAAAAGGAGGGGGAAATGCAAGAAGGCAAGCTTTGCTGATGTATTTCTCATCTCCATCAGAAAGGTATCCAAAGGAAAGATCTCTTTTTTTCCACGTTCAAATCTACAAATAACCACATGGAGGCACTACCGGACCAAAAAAAAAATTCCTTCCTTCCTTATGTTGCTGCGACACAATTTTTTTGCTTTCTGTTGAGTGCAAGCACATAAATACATCCACTCTTAAGATGTTTTATATATTGTCTGTATTGCATCAAAGAGCAGGTTCATTCGCTACTCAATAAAGACATTTTAAAAACAAAGGATTTCTGATTCTTTGCATGAAAGCAGGGCTTTGCAACATTTCCAGAATAGAGTTGGAACAGGCATGGGTGTTCCAGCTTAAGCGGCTGAGGGGGAAAAGGAAAGGGCCTGAGGCTGTTAGGAATTATGGGCGTTGAAGTCCAAAACACCTGGAGGGCCAAAGTTTTCCCATGCCTGACTGGTAGAAGAAATATGCAAGTATCATTTTAAAATGTTCCTTAAGAGTTGAGAAACCCTAACAAAATGAATGAGAATTTTCTAAATTTGGGGCAGGTTGCATGCAAAATTTCACACAGAAAAGGGCATTTGATGAAGGAGGAAAATTGGGAGACTATCTATAATCAGCTCACTGAGGTTAGGGGCACAAGACCCCCACAAAAGTGGAAGAACTGCAGATTTTGAAAAATTTAGTACCAGCAACTGATACTTATGAGTGATGTCCTTCACATTTGCGAATGAAAAAAGGCTGGGAACACTAAACCATCAGCAACCAAACGTGTTGTTACTCTGCCACCCAGTGTTGGAAATAGCAGTCTTCTAGGTAAAGGTCTTCCCCTGACATTAAGTCTAGTTGTCTCCAACTCTGGAGTTGGTGCTCATCTCCATTTCTAAGTTGAAGAGCTGGCATTGTCCATAGACACCTCCAAGGTCATGTAGCCGGCATGGCTGCATGAAGCATCGTTACCTTCCAGCCGGAGTGGTACCCACTGATCTACTCACATTTGCATGTTTTCGAACTGCTAGGTTGGCAGAAGCTAGGCCTAACAGCGGGAGCTCACGCTGCTCCCCAGATTTGAACCTGCTACCTTTCCTAGTTATTTGTTATGTATACAATTTAGATCGTTTGCTATATTGTATATGTATGTATTGGTATGCAGTTTTCCCCTCAACTCTTTCTTTGAGGATGTGAGAGGAACTGCAGACCATGTGATCAGATCTGGGACTATTCAGACTGAGACTCTATTTTAGATGTCAGTGTTGTGCTGCATATTGGCTTGTGTTCGGTGTTCGTTATGCATTAGACCAGTGGTTCCCAACCTTTTTTTGACCAGGGACCCCTTTGACCAGGGACCACTCTCCAACAGTAGTACCGAAAGGGTTACGAATTAGTTTTTGGTCAACTTTAGATTCAGTTTGGTTATTTGGGGTGCTGATTCAGAAAACTGCATTGGATAGACCACAGCGCAGGCCCGTAGCCAGGATTTTGTTTCGGTGGGGGGGGGGGGGGGGGGGGGGCTGAGTCTGAGTGAAAGAGGGTCTACCCTAGCAAACCTTTTGTATCGTTACCCCAATTCCCCCATGCATATGAGATATATTGAGCATGGTGATCAGATCATGATATGAATAAACATAAGTTTAAATAATGTACCAGTAAGGCCTTCTCATGAACCACCATGAGAATTTGGGGGGTGGGGGGGCTTGGGGGGCTTCATGCTACATGCCTGCTTCTGAGGATCTTCTATATTGTGCATTGGCATAATCTTTGGTCCTAACAGTTCAAAGAGATAACTAGGTTATCCGTCTAACAATTAAAAACCAAATTGCCTTGCATAAGTGCAAGTGGTTAGATTTTACTCAAATGAGGTTTTGTTTTTTTGTTTTTTTTGTTTTTGCTCTTCTCTGGAACATAATACTTTCCCAAAGGTTATGATTTTCAAATGGTTTTGAATATCATTTTTCTCCAAAAGATTATGGAGATTCTGGTTCTCCAAAACCTAGGTTTTGTATTTGGGATTTCAGAATTCCACGTAAGAGATGCTTAAACCCTTGTAGCGGCAGGACTGCTACCTTGAAGGTTGGGTTTCTGACCTGAAGGTTGTTGGTTTAAATCTTGGGAGAACATGGGATGAGCTCCCTCTGTCAGCACTAGCTCCCTATGCAGGGACATGAGAGAAACTTCCCACAAGGATGGTAAAACATTAAACATCTGGGCATCCCCTGGGCAACGTCTTTGCAGACCCCTACCAAAATCATAAAACTGCAAATAATATTAAGAAAAGATTTCTCTAGGAATGTCTGGATTCCCAAGTGCAACTCTATAGTCAGCTTCCAATGGAAATTGATCATAGAATCACATTGAATGTCCTAGAGATTCCAACAGATGTTTTTCCCCTCTAGGAATCCCTAGTTCATCCAGCATGACACTATGATCAATTTTCAGCAGAAATTGACCATACAGTCATGCTGGAGGATCTAAAGATTTCTAAAGAAAATATTTAAATCAGATCTGTAATAAAATTGTGAATGTCTAACCTGTACAAACACTTTACAAGCCAGCATTCTCTCTCTGAGATTCCTCCTCTACACTAAATATCTCAGGTCAACATCTAGGAACCTAATCCAGATCCTATATGAAGCATGTTGGGGTTCTGTGCAGTCATAAAACTCTTGTTCTTGCCGAAGCGACTGTATTAATTCTGTTTAAGGAATCAGGTATCCAAAAACACATTTGTAGTGGTCTTCTATTCAAAAAACAAAACATGCAGAGACTTGTGTTCTTTCCCAAATAAGCAGGAGGGCTTTTCTTTCTCTTTTGTTGCAGCAGTATATGAAATATATAAAAAATATACAGACTTTACAGCTTACAATTCACAGCTGTAATTCTCCAAACCACCATCTATCCCTTATCAACCCTATAATTGATATACTATTCCCATTGCATTAACCACCACACCCTAATTACAGTGGCTTAACTCTTCTACAGGTGATTAGGGCAGAGGTATGAACTCTGCTATTGCTTAGAAAAGGCCAGGTATTTTCCAAATCCTGACATCAGTCTGCTGATTTCAGACCCATTACAGTAGAGTCTCACTTATCCAACATAAACGGACTGGCAGAAGGTTGGATAAGCTAAAATGTTGGATAATAAGGAGGGATTAAGGAAAACACATCATGTGATGTGCTAGGCTTGATGAATGAAAGGCTGGGGTTAAAATTGGTGGAAGAAACATTAACAACCTTAGATATGCAGATGATATCACTTTGATGACCGAAAGCGAGGAGGAGCTGAGGAGTCTTCTAACCAAAGTGAAAGAAGAAAGTGCAAAAGCTTGGTTGCAGTTAAACATAAAAAAACCCAAGATTATGGCAACCAGACTGATTGACAACTGGCAAATAGAGGGATAAAATGTAAAGACAGTGACAGACTTTGTATTTCTAGGTGCAAAGATGACTGCAGACGCAGACTGCAGCCAGGAAATCAGAAGATGTTTCCTTCTTGGGAGGAGAGCAAGGACCAATCTCAATAAAATAGAAGGGTAGAGACATCACACTGGCAATGAAGATCTGCATAGTTAAAGCAATGGTATTCACCATAGTCACCTACGGATGTGAGAGCTGGACCATAAGGAAGGCTGAATGAAGGAAGAGAGATGCTTTTGAGCTGTGGTGCTGGAGGAAAGTGCTGAGAGTGCCTTGGACTGTGAGAAGATCCAACCAGTCCATCCTCCAGGAAAGAAAGCCCAATTGCTCACTGGAGGGAAGTATAGTAGAGGCAAAGATGAGCCACAGAATGAGAAGACAGGAAAGCCTGGAGAAGACAATTATGCTGGGGAAAATGGAAGGAAAAAGGAAGAGGGGCCAAC